ATAGTAGACAGTAACAAAGCCCAGGATTATCATAGCAACACAGTTTCAAATAAAATGTCAATCAAGTTTATCAAATCAACAATTTCTAACTCTATTTTTCAGTTCACATACATTTCATCACCTCCATTATTATTAAACTGTAAGCATTATCATCACTTCCTTTTCTTTCCAACTATTTCTTACTCCAACCCTTGAGGCCACTTTTCTTAATTGATAAATGGCGATTTTGTGTTGTGAATAATGAATGTAAGACAGGGGAACTAATGAAACATGGCTCTGTTTTTATCATATCACGACTGTTTAATCAAATCAGCTTTAAATGAATCAAATCATTTCATTTATCACTCCATTTTTCATCTCACATCTTTTTTACCCATCTATTTTTTTAATTCACATGCATTTTTATCACCTCCATAAACATGTATAAATAGGATAAATTTTTGAAAATATTTGGTACAGTTAACCTAGATCTGCTTTTTTTCAACAGTTTCTTGTTTATTAATGGGTAAAAATTCTCTCTTGTAGATAGCAGAACTCAGAACTTCACATCCTGCATCATCATCATCATCAATTCATGTACTGTATTGTATCATAACACGCCTACTGTAATATATCATACTGTTTTGTGTCGTCCGGCTGTGCTGAACTGTCCTTCAGCAGTACTCTGAATTACATTGCCTCCACCCCTACCATGAACTTTCCTCCTAGATGGTGCACAGTTACAGTTTGAAATCGTCATAACAACATCCAGGCTCACATTGAACACTGAGCATCATGTATTTCTGCCCATGCTCTGAAAAAGTAAGAGGTCATCAATAAATGAATGGCTGTGGCCAATCCCTCATTTGTCTCTGATGTCAGATGATGACCAGACTGTGGGATGTGCATACTGATAACAAATGACTGTGCCCTTCGCTGACCCTGCTGGTGGCAGAGGATGCCTGGCTGTGCGACACAAATTCACTAAATAATCATTATGCCAGGGCACTGCAGGGATTTAATAAACTAGCAAATTGACTGACTCCAATCAGGTCACAGTGTACACACTTGTATCTCGTCTAAATCCTCTGTGACGGCTAGAGGATAATGCAGGACTGTGTGTGGGGAAATGTTAGGGATGTGAATGAGGCTTACCACTTAACAAGTCAGATTGTTTACCCTACAACTGCTAAAACCAAGCTCAGATATTCATGAACATGTTTTAATTGAAAGTCACTTATCTCTCAAAAGTGACATTTCAGGATTTAATATTGAAATTTCATTTGACAGTGGTGCACAGCAAGCTTCGAAAATGTGTTTTTATAAGTCTTTACTCTTATCAACTTATAACGCATCATTATATTAACCTACTTGAAAATCAAAATCCTTCATTAGCTGTTTGCAGGATTACACAAGAAATTAAATATAGACATTGACAGTATAAATAGTGCAACAGTAACAAGTGTTTACTTTTTGGAATTTGGTTTTTAAGTCAGACTGTAATACTAACTTCACAATGTGTAAAGCATACGACCTAAAAAGCAAAGCCATTTCCCTGATGCATCGCTATAACTATTTGCTTATGCATAATCTGTGAACACTGGGTGATCATCTTGCTTTTGTATGAGTTTATATATCAGGAGACCATTCTGCTCAAAGCCAAATGCATCATAGATTGTAATTAATGCAGTGAAGCACCACTCTCTAGTCAATATTTATTGGTCGGTGGTGAAACACAAATTGTGTGCAACGTGAGAGTAAAGTTTGTAGATTCCAGTCCGTATGCTTCTCAGTTAAGTTATTTTCTTTTTTCGGTGACAGTTTTATAGTTCAGTTGGACACTCTTATCTAGAATAAATGCAGTGCAACAAATTACGGTCCTGTGCACCTAATCTGCAATGCACCTTTGTGTTGCATGAGGAACATTCTCATTTTGTTCCATATATGTATTGTGACATTGTTCAGCACTGAAGGAGTTTGGTGAAGATGGCTGAGTGTAGAAAATACATGACACCAAAGACTAGGTTTCCCAAGCCATGAATAAATGTTGATGAATAAATAACAGCCACCATAGTGCTAGCTTATTAAGCTTTTATGGCTTAACATGTTTGCAAACAGTCTTAATAGCCTAATAGCCTAATTACACATTAAGCATAAACAGAGCAACATTATCATTCCATCTGGAGGCATGTTTCTGGCCACTTGATGAATGTAAGCCCAGCTTTGCTTTTGTCTTCAGCAACTCTGGAGAAAACTATCCTGGGTATGGCTTAAATGTATTATCTCCTACAACAGCTTGTTCCTGACTTAATCTGTCTGCCATTTAGCACTAGGCAGGCATACAGTGTGTTTATTAGTGTATTTTGCTGGACACAGGTAAAACTGAGTTATACTGTAAATGTACAAGTCTCAAAACAAAAAATGGCCCAAAAATATCAAAAAGCTTTCTAAAGCTGCAGAGGTGGTTGAGGATCCTCTGTGGTTGATGATTTGGCACTAATAGCAACCCCTTTCACATTACACATTTGATTTATGTCAACAATATCAAAACCGATATTAATTCATGCAAATGTAAGGTAGCATAACAAGCCCACAAAAGATTATTCAAAATAAATAATAAAAAATCTTGCCCCCACAGGTTATTTTGTGTGCCAGACATTAACTTGAGAGATAGAAAATATCATCTTTCTGAACTTAAGAGGCTCAAGAGTAAGGTTAGAACGTGGTTGATTAAAATTTGGCAAAAGATGAAAACTTAACTCACATTGCAACATGTCTTCGCTGATGTTAGGGAGTCTAGCCAACCACAATTAGTTCAGGCCAAAGTTATGACACCCTGATCTCTCCTTCTGTGTAATCCTTTCATAATGATAAAACATATGGTGGCTCCTTAATATGCATTAGGCGTGTTATTTGATTTTATATTGTGTTCATTGCAAAGAATTCATGAGGCTGTTTGCTGTGGGCCTGTGTCAGAGCTTTTATTCATCAACACTGAACTCGAGGGTAGAGATTGGAGCGGTTGTCTGTATGTAATGATGTGTGTTTGGAGATATTAAAAATCCTCTGTTTGTCATGCGATAAAAAAAAGGAAAACCTCAGATATATTTTTATTGTAATCTTATTATTCTGGCAGTACTACTTCTAAAGGACACAAACACTTATGAATACAGTGACCTTTTCACAAATAGTCATCGTTTTGTGTACTCATTGCCAGCAGTCCGTTACATTATGTTCCTAACTTTATGTAACAGTGCAACCGTGAGAGCCGTTGTTCTTTTTTTCTCTGCTCATCATACCCCTACACCCTTGAGGACTATTCTTAGAGTCCTTAGGCAATCTTAGAGTGAGCAAGCTGCTGTTAGAAAGCCGATATATTTGATGTGGTTCATGGGTTACTGTACAGACTGACCTGTGGCCTGTCAAGACCCATTAGTGTTCATACAGGGTGAAATGGCAGGCTACAACAAGATCATGTCCTTAGAGAAAAACACACTGACCATTTCTTATAAGAAAATCTTGTTCTCATTAAACCTTTTGTAAAAGAAGTCATCCTCACTATCCTGCAGCATAAAACAGTTTTTATGAATTTCTATAGCCCTCTCCTTTTCTTGCCTCCTCCACAAACTGGTCAAAGTTCAGGGTCTGCTGCAGGACTTCACCCCAGAAGCAGGCTGGGAATAAATGTCTTGCTCAAGGACGCTTTATCTACATTTCAATCCGATTTTCATTTCATTTCAAACCCCCTAAACTCTTCAGCCCTGGGATCAAATGAATTCTCAATGATTTTTTAGCACCCGTCATTATAAAGGTCACTTTGTGGGAGAATTTTGTTATTTTTCAGGCAGAAATTGACAAAATGGTGGAAAACAAGACATTTAATATCACCTTTTACTCAAGGATATTGTGAAGGGCATTTTTTTTTCTTCAAGAATATTTGTATTGAATTTAACATTTTAAAACAACAAAATATGCATTTTAAAACAACAAAATATGCGTAGTGTGTAAAGTATACAACAGATTTACTGTTGTTGCTGTGCACCTGT